CCGCCTCATTTCCTGTTCCTTGTTTGGTTGTGGGCTTAGGGCAGATTCACACAATCGATTGTCTGTTTAATGTGGGTTTTATATAACTTGTATCCATTTAGTACTTATAGAAAGGATTGTAGAGTCATTTTTACTTATCTTTCAAACACATCAGAAAATATAGGATTTTCTGGAGGAACAGGCGAAATTTTCTAAAAGAACTTACAATTTACTTTTCATCACTAAAATACTTATGAATTCACCAGCTTAAATGCTGATCTACTCTTTCAAAAATAACTTGTATTCTCAGGAAACTAGTACACAGGTACGCGCACTGGGATTCAGAAGATGGAGCATATAGCTTCATGTCTTGTTTTGTTAATTACTTTGGAGTTAATCTTTTGTGAATCTAATACATTGTAAACACTTTAATATTTATACAATGGTCGTTGTTACTTTGACTACTATGATGGATGTGTTGTGATACTAAGCATGACGTCCTCCGCCCCCGAACGTTTCCGCCGTTCCGGTTTGGGGGTGTGATAGAACACGACATAGAATACCGGCCACGAACCAGTATCAAGGCCCAAGCCTTAGCAGACATCCTGGTAGAAATACCATACATGTTTAGGGGAAAACCAAAGGCCTTACTGATGGGTTTTGAGAATTACAACATTCCTATGGTGCACATGCGACCCTAATGCTTTGGATCTAGGTTTTTATCAAGTTATACATGCAAATTAATTATCCAAAGCAAGAAACCTAATTTAGCATACAATTTTCGAAATTCACATATGACATAGGGTTAGAAGATTACCTCACTTGTTATGTAGTAATAACAAGAACACCTTGACTCTTGAAAGCTTAGTGCCCCAAGTGTTACACCTCTAATGGAGTCACAAACACACAACACAACAAGGATGAATGACTTCAGAATCTGATCAGCAATCGTAGCTTTCAAAAGCTGTTGTCGAACTCTGATCTTATCAGAAACGCGTCCTTTAGATAAGTGATCAAATATTCCTCCGTTCTACAAAATATTCTATGGACATGAGACATGGATTATAATCATTCTCTCTATCCAAATTATGTTGAAGGTTCTGTGAGTGGTCCAGATAGTTTGTAGGCCGGCACGACGGTGCAGTCAGGCTGAAGGCTCTGTACGTATGTTGTTGTTTTTTACGTTTATGTGGTGGTACTTTGGGGAAACTCACTAAGCGTTGACTTACAGTTTTTGGTTATCGTTTCAGGTACTTCAGAGGACTGTGGCAGGGCGAAGACGTGACCGTACACATCCTGATTTTATATTGTTGATCTTGGGAGACTCTGATTTTAAATAATATTTTTGAAACATTGGTTTTGTAAACACTTTCGTTAATAAATGAGTTGTTTTAAAAAGTTTAAATTTGTTGTGATTTTTGAGACGTTACATTGAATGTGCATTTTAGTGTTCTTGAAGGAGGAAGAAGGAAGAGGAAACCATCCTAGAAGAGTGGAGCACTTTCGATCCATAATCACATCATCATTTGACACCATGTGAAGGTAAAAAGCTTTGATCTTGATGAAGTTTTACTTAAATCTTGTTTAGCCATGGTTTTGTGTTCTTTTTGGTCCCATCGGATTGCTATTATGAGTATGGGTTACTCTAATTCATACATGTTGTCCTTTCAGACGTTTTGGAGTGTTTGGAAGCATAAAAATGTAATCTTGGTCGTTAGTTTCCTTCCATGCATGATCTAGGATGTCTTAATGAGTTAAGAAGTTAGGGTTTTTGGTATTGAGCACTTAATAGCCATGCAAGACCATAAAGTTGGAAACTTTATGGTTAAGGACATCATTTGAGGACTAGATCTGGAGTTGGATGAAAGAGCTTAAGGAATTAAGCTCTCAATAGAAGGGAAAAGAGGCAGTTACGGACGCTGGGCATACCCTAGGTACGTTGCGCGTACAAGGTCAACGACCCCGTTTCTGGTCAAGACTCGAGTACGCTGGGCATACTCAACTGAGTTGACTTGGTTGGCTTTTTTGACTTTGTGATTTTTTGACTTTTTGACTTTTTGACTTTGACCATGATTTGATCAAGTTTGACCTAAGGGTATTTTGGGTATTTTGAGTTGTAATTGAAAATTTTCACTATTTGATGTATAGGTGACTGGTAGAGTTGATATTCGGAGCAGTGACCTATTCAACAATATGTTCAGACTGAGATGTGAGTTTTCCTCACTGTACTTGTGGGTCGAAGGTACCAATGCCGACCCATTAGATTATGTATCCTGACATAAAGGATGTTGCTATGTTGTAGTGATCTGTTAGATATGTGTCCTGGTATATAGGATGTTGCTATGCGGTAGTGATATGTAAATCTGTCTGTTTGTATGATTGTACTATTATCTGTTGCTGGATATATGTTATTTGTTATGTATATGTCGACATGGTATGGTAAGGTTGATACTGTACTGCTTTGTGCTGTCAGTCAATAAACCGGGGCAATCTAACCAAGAGGTTGTGGGTCGAGACATTGACGGTTGCTTTCTGTTCATATAATGCATACAGTTTTGGTTGCTGGTTGGGCCGGTTCTAAGGCCCTGTATGAATTAGTAGTTTTTGATCCTTCTGACCCTGTTCTTGATCCAATGTGGAGACAGGGTATGTTCGTTATACCCTTCATGACTCGTTTAGGAATAACCAATTCATGGGGTGGTTGGAGTATCACGGGGGGGACTATAACCAATCCGGGTATTTGGAGTTACGAAGGTGTGGCCGGAGCGCATATTGTGTTTTCTGGGTTGTGCTTTTTGGCAGCTATCTGGCATTGGGTGTATTGGGATCTAGAAATATTTTCTGATGAACGTA